CGAAGGGCCAATTCCAGGAAAAAGCATTGAGAGCAATAGATAAGAGCTCCAAAGAAGTTAAGTTTCGACAAAAGACTAAAAAATCTGCGGCTGTTGAGTTGCTAAAGGGTCTGAACCTAGACATGCTAAGGAAAGCCGTAGACAAAGCAGAAAGTGGAATTTTGGAAATTTTTTTCGCGGGAAAAACACAGAAGGCTGAGTGTCCTTTCCGGGCCATTGTGTAAGAAAAGAACACTTGGCAGGTTTAGATCAGACGGTTCTTACAGCGCCATTTGGACGCTCTTGCGCTAAAAGACCCTTTTTTGGTGCAAAGCTCGCTAGAAATAGTCAATGAACTTAAAGAAGGTTTTCAGAATGCTGTCACTGCAATATCTGTGGATGTTGAGGACTTATATTATTCCGTTCCTCGCGATGGACTTCTCAAGGCTGTTCGGGATAAGATCAACGAGTCTGGAGAAATTAGATTTCACAGTTCCGCGGGCGTTAGCAGTGATCATTTTTTGGAGCTGCTAGTCTTTTATCTTCAGTCGACTGCCGTCAGTTTTGACGAGAGATATTTTGTACAAAAGTCTGGTGTGTGCATTGGGTCGACAGTTGCCCCTGTTTTGTGTAACATTTTTTTGGCATCACTGGACCGGCAAATTTCAGATAGACTTGCGGATTTCCATGTTTTAAAGACGTACAGATACGTAGATGACTATTTTTTAATTTTAGATACAGATTCGGGTTTGGATAAAACGGTTGAGAGATTGTCGGACTGTTTAGGGAGGTGTAGGGCGGACTTAATTTTACCTCGGAATTGCCTGTGAATAACTGCATTCAGTTTTTAGACATTTTGATCCTTTTTTCTGAAGAACATGTCTGTTGGCAGTATTGTCCGCGCACTAAGAAAAGCCTGGTGTTGTTTGAAAGTGCTCACTCTAAACTGGTAAAGAGGGATATAGCCTTGACATGTCTAAGTGCGGCTCTGGAAAAAAGTTGCAACCAGCAGATGAAAATCAGTTTTGAACGACAATCAAAAAGGTTAACAGACGCGGGGTACCCCCTAATCTAATCTCTAGTTGTTGTGAGAGCCTTCTTCAAAAGCTAAAAAGAAGTAAAAAAGGCAGCGAGGCACGAAAAGAAAGGAAACGAGTGGAAGTCATTCCGAACATGCATACCGTATCTCATAATCTAAAAAAGGTAGCTGGTAGATACGACATTAACGTGGTTTTTTCTGCACCGTGTAAACTTGCCAGGATATGTCCGATGTTGACAAGGCAGAAGAAGGCACCGTACTCCAAGAAACACGCGGTGCAATATACTGCGTGCGTCACCAATGTGGTGTACGAGATTCCGTTTAGTTGTGGCAGAGTCTACATTGGGCAGACTGGGCGCTGCTTCTATGATAGAGCACGTGAACATAATTTGTGTGTGCACAACAACGCGGGGGGCCATCTCGCTGACCATTGTAGGAGATGTGGATGTAAACCTGACCTGACTGGCACAATAGTTTTAAGAAAGGCAAAGGAAAAAACGGAAAGAAAGATTATAGAGGCATTCTACAAAAAAAAAAGAAAGAAAACAATTGCGTCAGCGCTCCGTCTTTGTATTTGCTCCAGAGTGAGATGGTGTTTCTGGAAGGTTGGCTCTGATTGTCGCGATTGAATCCGATGTGGTTTGTGCAATGTGTATATATAGGTGACAATGGTGTTAATAAAAACCAGTTGAGAGTGAAGCGCCTGTCCTGTCGTCCGTGTTTCTTTTTTGTCCTCGTTTGTTCGCGCTTTTTAACCTTTTATTCAATCACGAATCGCCTGTGGTTGTAAAAAAAGATTTGTAGAAGTTGATTGTTTCTGCACACCAGTCACTAGCAAAGGCGCACGTACGTCAATGTTGATAACTCAATGAAAGATGCAGTAATAAACTAAAAGCTGTATACCATTAGGCTTGTCGCAGTGACAAAATTTCCAGTGGGAATGACCAAGTAAAGTGTGCCAACTCTTGGCGCGCGACAAGGAATTTGAATGACCGGATATTTTAAATGATTACCATCTCTTGCTTTGCTTGAGACCTTACAATCCGTACGAGGAACATTCAAAATTATCGGCACAAACCATTCAGTACCCATCTCGAACAAAATTTCCAAGATCCAAGTCAGTCATAGATTATTCCACAAACCCTTGGCTGATTTGAAAATAATTTGCCACAATATCCACTCTCACACGTGTGCCGACAGCGTCAGCCCACGTGCTCGATCAATATTCTCATCACTGGTGGTCACGGATGTGCGTCAGCAACATCGCCACTCTACGCTCTTAGATGTGTGTGCGCCGGAAAGTGGAAGGGGATAGTAGCTCTGAATCGCTAATGGAAGTTGTGCGGCTGTCAACCCATGTATTACGCAACTCTGCTGGCCCTATGGTCGCACTACATTATAGTTCGTTTGCATAGCGAGCTAGTTTCACATCTTCCCTTCTTCCCCACCGTAGGTAGCCACTTTGAAAGACGATTTGATGGTGCAGGGCCGCCCTTTTGGAGTAAGCCATAGATTGCTGCGTGGAAATGCGGCTCTGAAGTAAATTTCTACAATTTCCGTGCCTCGAAAACATTCAGTGGTTTTTAAAGTACAAGCTCTTCAAAGTGGCGATATTGATGCCTTATGAAACCTTCGAAGACAATTAAATTATGATATTATCTCAAACGTTTTTAAGACTAAAGCTCCGGCTAGTTGGTGTCATATGTCTTAAAACGATGGGTATGAAACACACAAATGGCAATTACCACTGTTGTTACCATCCGAAAGAAGTAAAGCCTAGCTTATCCAGAAAAAAAAATATTCGCGAGGACTGAGTTATTACGGCAGGTTTCCTAAAAGCGTTACCATTTATACTGCAATGAAGGGAAACATATAGTATGCAAACGCCGGATGTTTTTTCCGCGACCAGCTGCGACCGAAACAGTGAGCCGTCGAACCTCCTTCTACCAGCTGCCGGGGAACAAGTCAAAGACCCGAAATGGCTGCCATGATTGTCCCAGGCTCCAATCACATTTTAACAGTCATCATGCTCGTGAAGAAGTAAGCTAATTTTTAAGTCGTATATCGTTTTATAAAATAAACAGTACAGATAAGGATATGAAAGGTTAACTCAAAGGAGGGACGATAAGCGGCCATCTACAAGCTTCGGCTTACAGACAGAAATGAGCTTCAAAATATTCTAAAAATTAGCACGCCGTTAAGCAAATAAATAAATACGTAAATTCTAACACTTGTCGCGAGTGATAATTATTTTTATTCGTTTTAGTTAAACCAACACGCACATTAGTCCACATAGATTTTTTTTTTTTTTGCTGCCCCACATTTATGTATGATACGCAGCGATTGCTTGTTAAAAATAGTTTTCGATTTCATTTGCCGAACACATGCGAGAATCTAAAAAAAGAAAAGAAATGGAGCCGACGCGGTTCAGGAAATGTACCACTACCGGTCATATCCTGCACGTCTGCATGATCCCGAGGCATTGTTTGTTCGTGCTGATTTTTTTTTCACTGTTGGATGTATGACTCGTAGAATGCTAATTTTTTTTTCCTCTTGATACGTACGTAACGGGTTCCTATACCCTATCAAACGTCCCTACAGTAGCCTTTTTGTCCTGAAGCCTTTTCGGAGAAAACCTCTAGAGAGTTGTACTTAAAAAAGCTGAACAAATGCCTGATTTTGCGAAGTTTGTATAAATTTCAGTCTTTTCTTCTTCGTCCGGTTACTCTATTTGTCTTTTAAAACATACCGCCAGCATGTAGGGCGATTTGTTAAATACGTACGCGTCCAATATTTCTCGGCGAATATCCAGCATCGTGCTAAAAAATTACAGGAGTAAAAATGATAACGCTAGTGGGTTTCAAACGATGAAAACAGTGCACATAAGGACGACCAGGAAAGAAAGGAGCACATACGGAGCGCTGACATTCAACTGAGGTATGTCTTGTCAAGCATTTTCCATAGACGTATACTCTCAGAAATAGGGGGTGGAGTACCGACACACCTTGTCCCATATTTGACACCCCCAAAATTACAATTCGACGTTCAGTCTATTAACATCAAACCGACCATGCCAACTTTCACGAGCGGCTTGGTAGTCGAGTGGCACAACTCATTAAAATAGCTGGTATACGCATTAAAGAGTACAAGAAACCACTCCAGGTTTTGTTTGTACTTCTGTGAAACCTCAATATTTATTTTAGTCTTTGATACGTATGTTAGCTATTTAGTAAATCCTTTCACACTGCTATCAAACCGCTTGAAAAAGTTGGTATTGTCAGTCCGACGTCAGTAAACTGAACGTTGAAAAGTAGTTTTGGGCTATTATGTATGGGACTAGGGGAGTAAGTACTACACCCCCTCCTTTTGAATGTTCATGAGGTTGCCACAATAGGTCATTCCGCTGACAAACGAACTGGCAAAATTGTTGCCCGCACAATGAAAGCTTACAATTTTACCGAATGTGCATGAAGTAGTGAATTTTATTGTGTGAAATTTGGAGAGCTTCTAGTTCCCGTGAAAGATGAGAGCAGCAGACTTGCCAGTGTAAACAACTACAGTGTTCGCAGACAACAGAGTTAGCGATAGGTGTAACTTCTGGTGACATCTCCCGATAGGCGACGCAAGGAGACAACAAAATGCATTATCTACTTTCTGGGCCTATATGGGACCTATATGGAGACTATATGGAGACTCTGCAATGAATTAAAGAGGGATTCAATCGCTTCGGCGCTTTTCTGCGACACCTATTTTTTACTCCCGTGACATCCCGGGGAAGTTAAAGTGTTTTGATTTCATCGGGCACATGTGGCCAATCTCATACCTGGCGCCTGATTGGCGTATACGCGAACGCTGTAAATGTAAACCACCTGTCTCCAGGCATGCCCTTTAAAAGCAGCTGCGTCTGGCGGAACATTAAAACCAAATCACTCATCTGCTCTGAACTATCAAAACGGATACGAGTAGAACGGTCGACTTAAACATGACGAGGATGGGTGTTGCGAGTGAAGATGACGTCGTAGTTACGATTGAAGACATCGAGCGACTTGGAACCTCAATGTTTGATGCAACCGGCCGGGCTTACTACAACAGCGGCATCGAACTGGAGACGACACTTAGGGAGAATGTCGCGGCTTTCTCCAGGTATGGTAGAGCACTCAATGCACGGGCTTATTTCTTGAGGAACGGCGCGGCCGGTGCCCGCCAAATCTTATTATTACCCGACCCGAATACGACACGGTGGGATGCCCACCTGATCAGGCCCGGCCTGGACCCTGCCAAATGGGATGCCTACCAGATCAGGCCCTTCCCGGGCCTGACCCGGACCGGGCCCGGGCCGGGTCGGGTAGGTGCATCATCGCTTGAATTCAAAGCTGCCCTAAGAAGGTGTTGGTGCATTTGATTCCTTTAGCCTAATCAGTAGATTTGTTTAACCTAATCTAAAGAAAAAAACTTCTGCCTCGTATAGCAAGACGTGGGCTGAAGAGATCAGTCTATACAATGACAATTATTACTCAAAAAGCGGTGTAACGTAAAGATGCGATATGGGTGTAGGGACATATTGGGAAATTTTGGCGGAGATCGTGAAATTTTCTTTCTGCTTAAAATATTCCTACGTGTCTTCTACCAATACCAGCGTGTGGCTATGACAAGCCTTGGTGGCATATAATTGGCTGAAGTTCACGTGGCTGCATGTTTCCTCTGCTAATCAGGGGTGTGAACGCTACTCGTTTTCTTCGAAATTGTTCCGTGCGACTGCCATTGCGCAGAAAAAAAAACAAAAAAACTAACCCTTGTTTTATAGGTTATGGATGTTAAAGAACAGTTCTAAGCGGTATTTGCCAAAAAGTACAAAGATTGTTGCTTCGCCGCTTTAACTTTGCAACATGTATTGACATTTACCATAAAGCAGAAAAAGTGTCTATGAGTAAACAGCTTGAACAAGCTGTTTCCTAAACACTTTCACATAGCAGGACAGGATATACACAAAGCTCACTATTAACTATTTAATACTTCTTCTTCATCCACCTCCAATTCTTCGTAGTCCCTTCAGGCATTCCACGATTGCGAGGTAAGGTGCACATTTTAGATTTTTTCTAAAAGAACAAAGCATAATAAGGAGTACATATAAAAATAAACCATAGCTTTTCTATAGATCTGGCTTTTCTATAGACATACATGATATGTAATATTTTATTCCACAGAACAGCCTCATATCAATTCTACGATAAAACGTTCAAAAACAATGCATCACAACATTTCAAAACCATGCAGGGATAAGTTCGGACACCTTCTTAGAACAACTAGGTGTGTATTTAAAGGCGACAGTGGTATTATGAAGACCGACAATATGTTCAAAAGAGTGGTGTGTGCATCGGCTCTGAGGTTGCTCCACATCTATGTTATGTGTTTTTGGTAGCATGTGGCAGAATCATCAAGAAAAACCTGAGTGACAAAAATACTAACGCAATGTTCAGGTATTTCGATGATTTTTTGCTTCTGTGCGATACAAATATTCGAGACGGCAGAACTGCCTGTTCGGAGAAGATCTTAGAAATCTTCCAAAGTTGTTTTCCGGATCTGGTTTTTACTCATGAGCTGCTGGAAGGAAACTCAATCAAGTTCCTCGACCTGACTCTGGAGTTCAGAAACAATCCCGAATTCTGGAGGTGCAAACCCCGTTCATGCAAAATGTTTCTTCCGTATGACTCCGTGCACTTAAAAAACCGTTAAACGCAGTATTTCCGCCACGGCCCTTATCTCTGCCATAAAAAAAAATCGTTCAATTATCAGATAAGGCACGTTTTGAGAGACCAATTTTTAATCTAAAAGAATCCGGATATCGTAACGATCTCCTGGTAAATGTGTGTGAAACTATACGCAAAAGACTCAAGCGCGTGTCATCAAGAAGCAGAGACAAAATTCAGGCAGACAAAACTCAAAATCCAATCGTGGTCATTGCATACAAACATGGGATCCCTCAATAATTAAAAAAAAAGATTGCAAAACGACAAAACATTATGCCGCAGAGTAAATAACAAAACACAAATCAGAAAAAGGCATGCAACATTGCCCACAGGACGCGATATGCCCAGTGTAAAACAGGTGTTGTTTAGAGAGAGGTAGGTGTTTATTAAACAATGATGCCAACAAGCGCCTGGTGCCGGTTTGCTACATTGTGAGATGAACGGAATTGAAAATCATAAAAAAATAGAAGAAAGGTCAACAGAAAAAGATAGAGCGAGAAAACACACAAAACTAAAATACTAAGGGATTAATAAAACAACAAAAAAATAACAAAAATGTTTCACTGGAAATTCTCATTGGCTATTGCTGTTCATATACTTTCCTACAGTTTCTTCTGTATTGAGTAGCTGTTAGAAATTTCAGCAGAGCTTTTGTAGCTTTATACCCCTCAGCAGCAAAACTCCATGGACCAAGCAGAGTGCGAATGCTTACGTCTTGTTCATTTTGTAGCCACCGGCCTTTGTTCATAAGCTCTCTTTCCCGACTGTAGCACTTGCATTCACACTGTACATGTTCGATGTTATGCGTGACTCCGCACGAAGCACATTCAGACGACTCAGCTCTACCGAGTTTGTGAAGGTAGCTGTTGGTGTATGCCACATTCAGTCTCAAGTCATGTAGGACGGTCTCGGCTGCCCTTGGTACTCCTCGTGGTGCCCGAAATGTAAGGTTGGGATCGATATTGTAAAGATAGGAGTAATGATATTGAGGATTTCTCCGAAGAAAAGATGCTATTTCTGGCCAGTAATATTGTCATTTGCATCTGACCTAGATAACGGAATTGACACAGCAATAGCGCTCTCATGAGCGTTTCGAGCGGCCCTTTCAGCGATAACGTTCCCGGTTATACCAGAGTGACCAGGAATCCAATGTATAAGAAACTGGTGCCCTTTGCTGAAGCTGGCGAGATGCTTCCAGAATATCATGTACGAGTTGCAAGTTCGGGCTACATTTTTTCACCGTAGAGAGGGTGTGTAGAGCAGATCTAAAGTACACAAAGATAGCCCAAAAACCAGGACTCTCGGCGCCCACGTGTGCAATAGCTGCTCGAATTGCTGCGAATTCCGACGCTGTTGACGACGTAACGTGGCTTAACCTTGCCTGTATGCATGCGTGAGAGACGAAATGTAGGCTCCCAGGGTTGATGCCGCTGACATTGTAGACCCGTCCGTGAAGGCATGTCTAGATGAGGCATAAGTTCGGTTTATGTATTCCAGCAATGTCTGCGTAATCATGAGGGCGGGCATTGTTTTTTTTTGAAGCGATTCCCGGAATTCTTGTTCTGATTTCTAAGTGAGTGTACCTCCATGGTGGATAGCTTGGAATTACCGCAGCTTCAAAAGAAGTAGGGAAGTAATCCTCCAAAAGCGTGATATCTTGCGCAAAGACAGATGATGGTCTCTCTGTTACAATGTTTGTGAGCTGATGCTTATATGTTCGATATTTGTGACGAAGATGATTTATCAATGACCTACAGTATTGATAAATAAAATAAAAAAATAAAGAAATAAATACATAAAGAACGTTTCTTGCGTTCTTAAAACGGCTGGTGAAATCGCTCGTGCTTCCGCAAGAGATCCCAAATTAGAAGTGCCTTTCGGCAGCCCTAAACATATGCGAAGAGCTTCTGCTTGAATACTCTCGAGTTCTTTTAGAAGAGTACGTGAGATGTTATGCATAACAGGCAGGCTGTAGCGCAGAAGTCCGAGAAATAAGGCAATATAAAGGGCAAGGAGTGCGGAGAGAAAGCATCCCCATTTGGTGTCACTACTCATCCTGATTATATTGATGGAAGAGGAGAGGTTCTTTTTGGGGCGTTTTACATGGGGGCTTCAGATGAGCTGCCTATCGAGAGTGACACCCTGGAAAGTATGTTCTGTGACCCAGGGAAATTCTTCTCCGTGTAATTCAATTAAGTATTTGTCCAGGTGTTTTTTTGTTTTTTTTTTGTGAATGACATCGTTGCTTACTTGTCCGGCGATATAGGCAGACCAGGGAGGTGTAGGTACCGTGCGGTAATGTTATATTCTTTCTGTAGTCTTGCTTTGTTGATGTACAAAAATCTACTGCAAGTCCAGAAGCAGATATCATCCGCGTGAACACGTGAACGATTTCCGCGTGAACACGTGAACGATTTTCGGGAGAATTTTCAGGATACCTATGAGACATATGCTAAAAAGCATGTGGCTGAGGACGCCGCCTTGTGTTGCTTCCCCACTAATATGATGAAGACCTGTGTTGCCGTCTGGTGTCGATATGTAGACTTCTTCTTGTTTTAAGTAATTGGCTATCCATTTGTATACACGTCCTTCTAATAAAATGGCCATCATATCTTGAAGAATAGCATTGTGTTCTACACAATCAAAAGCCGATTTTATATCCACAAATACAGCTGTTATTTTATTTACTAACTTCATTTGTTCAATACTTGTTACTAAGTCAATAACGTTGTCAATGCTGCTCCTTCCGAGTCAAAATTTATTTGTGGACGAAGGATATAGATCTCTATTTTCTAGATCCCATTCCATTTGGGTAAGCAGCATTCGCTCCATTACTTTGTCTATGCAACTTGCTAATGCTATCAGACGGTAGGAGTTAATGTCTAAAGGAGATTTTCCAGGTTTTAAGATTGGTAGAACTCGAGCAATTTTCCATTCCTTCGGTACAGAACCCGTTTCCCACGAGGAGTTAAATATTTGTAGCAGTGCGGTCCTCGCCCCTCCCCCAAGTGGCGATACCGTACACCATACGTGCCTGGGGATGACATAACGTTAGACGTCTCGAGCGCCATACAAAGTTCCTTAAAGGTAAAATATGTAACAATAGCCTTGCATACACTTACGGATACATGTCCCTCCTGTGCACTGACTTTGTCATGGGGCCTTGAAGAGCAGGAAGTGATCTTGATACAGAACTCTTCGGCTACAGCTGTTTCTGATACTTGACAACTCAGACTGATGGCGCAGAACGGGTTGACTTGCTGTGGCCTTGCACCTAGGCTTCGCATTATCTGCCACGTTCGATTAAGTGGTTTTCTCGGGTCGAGGTTGGAACTAAGTGACCTCCAGCGTCTCTTGGAACGTTTGTCCAAGTGGCGTTGAACCCGTTTTTGTGCT